ATTTAATTAAAGGGTCTGAAGCACCTTCATTTCAGTGTTATGATGATAAACACTTACCAATGTCTGAAACAACAACAGACAACTACCACTGTGACACAGCCAACAAAGAGCACAATCAGTAGAGCTATGAGAGCAGCAAGTGCTGAGTCTATTGCTTCTTCCTTAGGTGTCACATATGCTGGCTGTAACAGCAAATTTTAAGTCATAGATCGCAAACACAAATTAACTTCACATTTAGTTAGAGTTATACTAATAAATGCATACCACAACATTTTCAATTGCAAAACCTGCATAGTAATCCTTTAGAAAATCGTATTTAGCATCTATAACTTTTAAGACTTCAGGAATAGCAGCAATTGTGTTTGAAGGAGTGTCAACTACATGAAGGTACATGTCACTCCTAAATGAGAGAAAACAAATCACATTGATGAAAACTTAAGAAAAAAAGAAATTATAGTCCACAATAATTCAGAGGCATTCCTTACCAGTCGGGCCTCGGACGGCCTTGGCTATTGACGTGAGGTCCAATGCCATCAACAACCACCAAGCGCTGGGTGGCATTGGATAACTCAGCGACAATCTCCGCTTGCTGAGCATGAACTTCACTAGGTGGTCGAGATAAAATCACACGAATTAATTGAGATGGTTCATACAACCAAACATGAACTTTTGTGCGGGTCTCTCTTTCTGGCAGAGCTTGTTCTCTTGCAACAACATCAATTATGAATCTATCTTGATTATATTCAGCCATGTAATTAGAAGTTCGTAACTGTCCACTCTGGGTGATGTTAAACGGACTGGGTACAATAGATCCAGATGACCTATTTGATCCATACCTGTAAAATAAGTTGAAAAATAATTTATGTTTTGGACTTTCTTTAGTTTATAAGATAAGATTTAAGTTGGCAATGGATGATAAATATAATTATAAAAGTGTACAAATAAGTTCAATTACTTGTATAAGTTAGATGCAGCAATATAGTATATTATTGAGCCATTAATTCCTAAATCAGGATCTTTGGCTGTAAGCTGGACAACAAGCTCATCAACATTGGCCATTGCATTGACTCCTGAAACAGTTTAATTAGATAAAATAAGGTAAGCTTCAGATAATAATAGCCAATAAATTATATTTCCCCCAAGAATCCATGGGGATACATTACCCGCATAATAATTTGAATGCTCAAACTGTGGAGCATTATCATTTTCATCAAGGACTGTGATGAGAACATGGGCAATGGTAGGATCTTGCTGAAGCTCATCATCACTTAGAGCATTAAGTTCATCCTGAGGATATGATAATCAATACCGTTACATACATAAACAGGTGGATATAATCTTCAATTCACACTCAATGACAAATAATGTTTTGAAATTACCTTGGAAATATAAAAATCAGGATCATTACTAGCTTTAATGTAAAGCTCATATGAATCCTCCTTTTCTCTGTCGAGTGTGGCATTTGTGTAAAGCGTACCATCTGTTCGCTCAATTGTGAACAGGCCTGAACCACTGTTCCGCATTATGTAGTAGTAAATTCGGGCATAAAGACCTTCATCTGGATCCTGAGCTTCTACCTTTCCTATAATTTCAAACAAAGTTAGGATTGCAAAAACTACAAGTTGGTTATCATTTTGAAAGTTTCTTCCAATCAGAGAAAAGAACTTACCAATTTTGACATTAATGGGTGCATTTTCTGGAGCACTAAAATGATATGGGTTGGTCAGTGGTCCTCTTGTAAATTCTGGATTGTTATCATTAGCATCAATTAAATTAATTGTGAGAACTCTGAGAGTCTCATAGCTTGTAGGTGATCCGTGGTCGCGAGCAACAAGAACCAACTGAATACCAAAAAATACTTTTACATTTTCCTCTTCTAAAATTTGAAGAAAGGAACAAACGGCATTCTGATACATACCTCATATTTTTCCTTGGCCTCTCTATCCAACAGTACCTTCGTGACAATTTCTCCAGTTTCATCATTTATGTAAAATTCTTCTGTCTCCTGAACATTTTGATTGTCAACCTTGAAATGGTATGTAACATGACCATTTTCACCACCATCACCATCTACTGCTTTAACCGTGAACACAGGGTAGCCTGCCTCAGCGTTGCTCTGGAACCCAAAAACATTTCATCAGTTTTTGGTTGAATACTCAGGCTTTTCTTTGAGAGTGGGGGCATTACTTACCTCGGGAATTCCAATGGAAGCATTAGTCGATCCAGGCTGAGTGAAAAGTGGCTTGTTGTGATTAACATCAAGAACAGTGATATTCACATCTGCTCTATCCATAAAATGGCCATCACTTGCTTCAACCAAGAGATGGAAATGACGCTCAGCCCCTACTAGAGATGAAGATGCAAAAAGCACCCCAGTTTCTGGATCCACAGCAAAAGCACCTAACAGCCAATGGAAAAAAGGTTGTAAATATTGGAGATATGAAGAACATAACAAAAGGAAAATTATTTTACATACCGCCACTGTTTCCGGAGACAATGGAATAACGCACATGAGCGTTTTCTCCTTGGTCAGGGTCTTCAGCTCGTAGTTGTACCAGAGGAGAATTCAGAGCTACTGTTTCTTCTACAGTGGCTCTATAACTATGTTGTGTTAAAACTGGTGGGTTATCATTTACATCAAGAATTCTAATTGTAACCTGCAGAAATCAACATAAATTATAGACAGAGACTTTTTGAAAAAAAGAAAACTAGTGAATGATTGAATGCACTTACAGGAACAGCAGCTGTGCGACGAGTGTCTGGGGGAGCTCCATCACTTGCCATCACCTGAATAGTTATTTCAGGAGTTGCTTCTCGGTCCAATACTCTAGGGTGTGCAACAGTGATCTCCCCACTATCCCGATCAATCAGAAAATCATTGCTATGCTCGCCAATTAGTTGATATGTAACTACACCAAATACACCATCATCCTTGTCTGTAGCTTTGACTTTAACAACAACAGTACCTGCAGGGGCATTCTCTTTGACTGCCGCCTCATACTTTGCCTAGAAAAGAATTACCGAGAGTGAGTAATTAATGGTAATCTTCATAGTAATACAATATTCATTTTTAAGACTGCAGTGAAATATACCTGAGAAAACACAGGGTCCATATCATTAATATTTATGACATTGACCAACACATCAGCGGTGGATGACAAAGGAGGAGCCCCAGAGTCATAAGCTACAACTGTAAAATTTAGACTGTTGTTTTCCTCATAGTCAATGCGTCTTGTAGTCCTAACAACACCTAGAATAGAGAAAAAATAGTAACCCCAAGCTTTAGTTGGTATCTATTTAAAATAAGAACTAATTTCTAGTCAACCAAGGCGTAGATGTTTCTGTTCCTCTTACCAGTCACATTATTGATTTCAAAGTATGCTGATGAAGGAACTATAGCATATCCTTGAATGTTGGAATCTGCATCAGTGGCAGTGAAAGTTCCAACAGTTGTACCTACTGGCTGCTCTTCAATGAGGTCAACCTTGTAACGAGGATCTTCAATAGTCCAAGGCTTTGAAAACATTGGAGGAAAATCATTTACATCAATAATGTTTACCACCAATGTACCTGAATGGGCAGAAAAAAATCCATTAGACCAAAATTAGCAGAGACCTGGATGAAACAGAATTTTTCAAATCACCTAAATTTACCTTTTCCTTGTTGCATAGTAGGTGCTGTAATATCTGTCACTAGGACAGTAATTCTCACAACAGCCGCAATATCACGCTGTAGAGGTTTGGCTACAGATACTTCACCAGTAGAACTATCAATGTTGAAAAACTCCTAATAAAAATTGTATATTAGAAAAAAAAGAAAAACATTGGTTTGGTCTGTAATGCAATTGCAAAATAAAAATTTAAATTAAGTTCATAGATGAAGTATGTCATACCTTGTAATCTTCACTATCGCTTACGGGTTTGCCATGTTTGTCAATGGCAGTGATTGGTTCTGAAGCAGCAAAGTTCAATGCATCAGAACTGTTTACATCCAAATCAGTTGCATTCAGAATATAGAATATTGTTCCTGGTTGAGTATCCTCAGTAACCTAAATAATTAAAATGGAAAAAAAATAAATAAATAAAATCTTTAAAATCAAGACTACTTAAAAATGATAAGTAGTTCTCCCAGAACTTTGCTTCTTTTCATAGAACTTACAGCTGCATTTTGAGTAGCTGGGACAAAAAATGGTGCTTTATCATTGGTGTTTAAAATATTGACCATCAAAGTAGTTGTTCCACTAAGCATTGGAATACCTAAAAAATAATGATAAAATTATAAAAACTTGAATTTTGTTAATTATGATTTTAGCATAGCAATAAAATACCTACCGCCATCTACAGCAATGACTTCAATGTTGTATAATCGTCTTCGGTCAAAGTCTAAATGGTTTGCTACTGTAACAACACCTGTTTCAGGCTCAATAGAGAAGTCATCAAAAGCCCCCTTTTGAATTTTGTATTTTATTTGGGCATTGACACCTGCATCAGCATCCATTGCAACCACTGTATCCACTGTTGTGCCTGAAAATAAAATTGTTTTGCTTTTTTAATAAAAACCAATTGAAAATAAGGCAAATATGCACGAGAGATGAGGGGAGTAATTACACAATAATTTGAAATGGATAAGGTATTACATGCTGGACACTCACCAACAGGAATATCTTCCGGTAGAGAAGCAAGATAAGTTTCTTGTTCAAATTCTGGGTGGTTGTTATTAACATCAAGAACAGTTATATGCACAATGCACTGAGAGCTGAATTTACCGTCTGAGGCCTACCAAAAAAAAGTAACAAAAGTTAAAAAAGTGACTAACTTGTTTTACAGTAACCAGGTAGTTAAAAAGAAAGAAAACCAATATAATTCACCTGCACAGTTAAGGCAATAGTATCAGTAGGAACATTGGTCATATCCAATCCGTCAGGATTTGAAACCTTCACCTCACCAGTGTGGGTATCAATAGAAAACAAATTTTGAATGTTGCCCTGTTTGATAGAGTACATGACTTCAGATGTTTTATCAGCATCTCGTGCCTGGAATTGAGAAGAAAATTATCTTATGAAAAATATCCATTACTGTAATTTTTTTCATTGAACAATTTTTCTTATAGATTATGCTTACCTCCACAACCAAAGGTGGCTCAAAGTTTGTGGCTCCTTCATCAATGACAGCAGTATAGTTCTTGTTTGTGAAAATGGGTGTGTTGTCATTGGAGTCAAGAAGAGATATTTTCAGAGGGACAACAGCAGATAACCCAGATGGTGATCCCTCATCGTCAGTTACCTACAATGGTCAAAAAAAGTAAAAGTAAATAAATTTATCAAATTGAGATACATTACAATTACGACAGCCAGGTTAAAGAAGAATCAAAAACACATGCCTTGTAATTAAGGTAGTAAACAGGTTTTGTCTCAAAGTCCAGGCAGGACCCTGATCCTGGATTCTCACATGGTGCAACTAGAATTACCCCGGTCTTTTTGTTGACAAGAAACCTAAATAAAACAGTCATGAGAGTATGCCGCCACTAAAACAAATTTATTACATGAAAACCAATGTTAATACATACTTTTCAGCTCCATCTCCAATTAGCTGATAAACAAATCCATCCTCTCCAAAACGTCCATTATCTCTGTCATGAGCAGTGATTGTAGTAATTACAGTGCCCGGAGATGCACTTTCATGAACACTTGCTGAATATGCCTCCAAGTCAAAAACTGGCGCATTATCGTTTTCATCAGTGACTGTTACAGTAACTGTAGCAGTGGAGGACAGCCGCTCTTCCGTGTGGAGCTCTTCTGCAACCACCTAATAAAACAAATATTATGTGCGATTAGAGAGAATATTATTAGGTACTCATATTGAAGATTGAAATATTTGCTGCATCATTTCTTACAAGAATAATAAATTTCCTGTGATTAGGATTTTCATAGTCCATGGAGCCTTTTGCAACTCTTATACTGACTGATGTGGACCCTATGGCTTTGCTTGGTTCAACAGCAAATGCACCAGAAACATCTTCCAAATGCAAAGAAAATTCTGAATTTGTGCCCTGAAAGATTGGTGTATTTTTCAATTAGTAAAAGTTCCAAAGAGAAAGAGAGATGTTCAATTTAAGTATGCTTACCACATCTGAATCTGTAACTGTCATATCAAGGTGCGGTAATGGTGTTCCTACAGCAGCATTCTCTGGTATTGAAACGCTGTACTCCTTTCTATCAAACGTTGGTGGCTCATCATTTACATCACGAATAGTAACAGTAGCTTCTGCAGTAGTACTTGTAAGAGGATCGTCACTGGGGTAACCATCTACCAACTCCCTTGCCTATGAGAGCAAAGAAAGAAAAATTATTTTCATAATTCTCTTTACCATGTGGCAAAGGAATTGTTAAGCAACAATAGACATACCCTTATCTTCACTTTCAAAACACCAGTTGAATCTTCCAAAGCTTCTCTATCTAATGGACGAGCAGTTCTTAACTCCCCTGTGTTTGCATCAAGTAAAAAGTACTCCAAGGGATCTGAAAAGTACATGTGAGTTATAAGTACAGATATATGACATTGGGCTTCAAGCGCAAAAATTATATAAGAGTATAACATACTGTTGACAAGTTCATAATAAATTTGTCTTGGCTGTCCACGATCACCATCCCTTGCTTGTGCTTTAAGTACCAGAGTGCCAATAGGGTCATTTTCTTCAAGAACACCAGTTAAAGAGCCCTGAAATACTGGAGGAGAGTTCTGCACATCCTCTACTTTTACCTCAACACTAGTAGTAGAATTGAATGTGCCATCCTAGAAAATGAAAATGAAGTAAATAATTTGTAACCTAAGTAAAAATATTACTACTTTAATGTAGCACTTATCTGTAAACTTTGCCCTCTTACCGTTGCCACTAAAGTAAACTGGTAGAATTGCCTTTCGTTGTAATCCAACACTCTTTCTAAAACAATATCTCCTGTAAAGTGACTAGCATTGGCAGCAACAACGGCCACAGAAAACTTCTCGCAAGCCCCAGGAAACTGCAAAGTTTACAATGATATTGTGATAATATATAATCATTCATCTAATAAGGGTTTTAAAACAATTAGGCAAAAAAGACAAACCTGCTCTTCTTCAACGCAGGCAACTTCAAGAGTTTCCCCTGTCAGATCTGGATCTTGCAGTTGAATTCCATGGAATACAACACTGTTAGGTTTTGTATCCTCAGGAACAAGAACTTCATATGGCGTCTATAAAAAAAATTGTTATGAAAAGAAATAACCAGAGCTCTTAAAAGGCAAGTGGGAGGGTGGGTAAAATGCAATTAAATAGGAGAGTACGCTCACCCCAATAAAAGTTGGCGGGTTGTCATTGACATCGGCGATGATGACAGATACTTCCACCTGAACGAGGTTGTTTTTCCCGCTCTGAATGCCGTTGTCATCGCCTAATTCATCTTCCAGCGTGACATAAAACCTGAGCGTATCATTGATCTGCAGGGAAACAAAACATTCCGTCAGACTGCCGAGTAAAATACAGAAAGGAAACCAAGTAATGGTGCCAATGTCAGTGGAGGAGCAGATGCCGAGCACTGGAGGCGGAAGGGTTGCCTACCGCCACGGCGGCGCCTGGAGTGTCTGAAGCTGCTGGTCGGTAAAAAAAATGGGTGCAAATTGCATCGGGTGTAAGCACGTTACTCTTCTCATACGAGCAACCCCAGACACCCGAGGCACCCTCTTGGTCACCGGGGTCGGCGCTTACCTCGCGGTCCAGCGGGCGGACGACGCGGACCTGCCCCGTGATCCTGTCCACCTCGAAGCGGTCCGTGCCCACGAGCCCGTAGCGCAGCGGGGAGCCCTCGGGGTCCTCGCCCTTGAGCGTGTAGACGACGTCGCCCACGGCCGCGTCCTCGAACAGCACCAGGCCCTGCATGTCGGCGAGGAAGAGCGGCGGCCGGTTGCAGAGGGCATCTGTCACAAACAGTGAGGAGGCGTCGTTCACAAAACTGTCCCGCAGACCGCGGCGGCGCCGGGTTTACGTTTTGTCTCACTCACCGTGGCACAGCAGCGTCAGCAGCAGCAGCGGCAGGAGGGGCAGCGCCGGCAGCCGCGGGGGCCGCGAGCTGGGCGGCATGGCGGGGGCGACCCTGGGCCTGGAACAAGAGAGAAGGCGGCACGCTATAGTCCAGTCGGGCTTCTTATTAATTGAACGTACGGTTCAAGAGAGCGTGAGCGGGCAGGGCAGGGGGAGGGGGGGGGGAGGGCTGACCTGGCGGCGCCAGGCGCAGCCTAGACTCGAGCTCGCGCGGCGCCGCGGCTAGCTCACTCCCCCACACTAATACCCGGCCGTGTTGCGCGGGAGTGCTGCAGTCACTCTCTCACTCTCCTACTCCAGAGTAGTAGTGCATGTAGTAGGCCCTCGCGTGCCGGCCTTGCCCCGTGCAGATCAGTCGGGGCAAACATGCCGCCGGCCGCCGCAGTCGTAGTATAGTCATTGAAAAGGACGGTCATGTGTGTCGCAGACCCGGCAAGTTCGGAGTATAGAGAGTCCTGCTGCTGCTCCCTGTCGAGGGAAGCTAATAACATGCGCCCGTCACCATTCCATGCACTGTGTGGTAATGGGCACCTTGTGGAAGTGTGGTATGTATGCGCCGGCGAGCCTGTGTATATATGTGTGTGTGTGTGTGTGTGTGTGTGTGTGTGTGTGTGTGTGTGTGTGTGTGTGTGTGTGTCCGCGCGCCCGCGCGCCCGCGCCAGCGTGCTGACTGCCTTTGGGCTGGCTAAGTGGCTGGCATGGCAGGCGTGCGCCAGGCGCCCCGCGCCGCCAGCCTCGCGTGGCCAAATGACCAAATCCGCCGGCACACGAACACACACACACACACACACACACGCCGCTGCGTGGGAGTGCGGGCTGCGGGCCGCTAACGTAACGGCCGGGCCGGGCGCGCGCACACACACACAGTCAGCCGCAACGCGCGCCCGCCAAGTGAAAACGTTTCACACGGGCGCGGGCGGGGCGGAGGGACGGCGGACGCCTTGCGGCATGGCGGCTGTTTAGACGCATGCCGAGAATAAGAAAAGTCAGGCGCAGCGCGACGCGACGCGACTCGCGGGGGCGGAGCGGGGCGGCGCGGCGCGGGAGGTAACTGGAGGCACACTGGAGCGCACTGGAGGCTGCTGCTGCTGCTGGGCGCGCCAAGGCCCTCTGTGTGATACTCCAGCCTGCCTCGCGCTGCCCGCGGTCCGGCTTCACTCCGCTTGCTCCGCTCCGCCACCTCAGCCCGCATGAGAGCGCATCGGATCGTGTATTCACGTATGAAAAGTATCACCAGCATCGGGGCGAGCAGCAGGAAGTGCGGCAGGCGAGCACGACTTCCAGGCTGTCAGTTTCCTTCCGTCGTCATCTACGGCTCTCTCGGCGGGGAGCCCCGTTTTGCTGCAAGCGGTGCAGCAGCGATGGGCGGGGCGGGGCGGGGCGGGTTCGCAAATGGTGCGTGTTGGCCAGGGCGGACGTGGCGCGGCGCTGCGCGGCGCCTAAGGCACGACACACGTTGCGTCGCGACGCTCAGCGACACGCGCCCTTCCTCCTCTCTCTCTCTCTCATTCTCCCCCCCCCCCTAACCCAGCAGTGTGTCCCGTTAGCGAGGAAGGAAGACGAGGAAGTTAAACACTCGACTCGTCTCGGCCCCGCGAGGCCCGCCACCACCACCACCACCACCACCACCACCGCCGCGGCGCCGGCATCCGAACGGTGCGGCGGCGGCGCTTCAACCCGACGACCATGTCGATGAGGACCACCGGCAGCAGAAATCTCATTTCCACACGAACGATCCGTCACCACCGCCTGCTGCCCCTCCTCCTCCCCCAACCTACGGCAGCCCCTGCTGGCCGGCGGCGGAAATGGGCAGCAGGCACCGCAAATCCGACGCACGAGTGAATCGGGCCTCGCGGGACCGCGGCGGCGGGTCCGCGCCGCGGCAGGTCCACGGCTCGGCTCGGGCTCAGCGCTCACTCAGCGCTGCCCGCGGGGCTGCCTCGCGGCCGTCACGGGTCCCCCGCGCGGCCCCGCCGTGGCATTCCCATGGCACCCTGCTAAGGGCGCAGGCAGGCCTATGCCTCCCGTCGCCGTACGTATTTGGCCATCCTGTCCCGCCGCGGCACGCCTAACTGTTGTTCTGGCGCGGCGGCTCCCAGGATGGGCATCGGCAGCCACCACCACACCACCGTCGTCGGCCCCCGGTCGGCCCTTAACCCGCCGCCCGCGTCCTGGCTGAGCGCGTAGCGGCACCACTTCCTCAGCGGCCGGCAGAGCTATAGGGTTCGAGTCCGGGAGGAAGACGTCAGACACTGCCGGCGAGGTGCGCGGCGGGGACGGGGACGCGCGGACGGCCGCGTGGGAAGCTCCATCAAGTGCGAGTCACAGCAGCAGCAGCGAGTCATCGCGGAGCGTCCTCCCTCCGCTCGCGGACACGGCGGCCCCCCTGCTATACACCCACGACGCGAGTGCGCGGGTGGCCCTCTGTCTGATTGATGGGCAGCTCCGCGGTCACGCCGCCACGTCACGCTGGGAGTGACCGTAACGACACATCTTGCGTCACGTCACGAGAGGCTTCCCGCGGCCAGAGGCAGAGGTTTGAGCCTCCCTCTCTCTCTCCTGACCGCGGCCGCGCCGGCCGGCCCGGCCCCGGCGGCGGTGGTGGTGTCCGGGACAAGTGCCGGGCGGCCGGTTCACTTTCATTGCTCTGGGCCCGGCGAGCACACGGCGAGCTTGGGCTCCTCCACATCCACACGCTGGCTGGCGGCAATAACAATCATGAAAGCTCATGGGAGAGCAGCGCCGGCGGGGCGCGCGGGGCCGGGGCGGGACCGCGGGGCGGGACGGGGGCTGCGTTCCTTCGGTTCCTTTCTCTTCGGAAAGCGCAGCAAAGCAGCCGGGCCGAGCCCGGGAGCGGCGGCGGTGCAGCAGCAGCGGGCAAAGCGCAAGTGCCGCCAAGGCGTGTCGGTAACCAACACGTCAGGGACTGCACACGCAACGGCATCGCCGCCCCGGGCACCACCGGCCAAGCCCCCCAGCAGGCCGCTTCGAGAACCTTGCCGGGGTAATTCATCCAGAACATCATCGAAGAACACTTGGGTGCTCGGACTTCCCTCGCGTTCTCTAGCACCTTCCTTGAGTCCCGGAGCGGATCACAAACACAGCTTATTGTGGTCATGCCATAGGTGTGGCCACGTGGGATTCGACGTGCTAGGACGTTCCATATTTCGGACCACCTCCACAATCCTTCACCTCTTGAGCTCACCTAGGATCTTCGCTTCGCCCTGCTTGGACACTTCCCTCGTCCTCTTACGGACGTCCCGGATCACCTCTACATCATCTACCCAAGAGCACATCTGGGGCCTCCTGTCTGCTTGGACTTCCCCGTGTGACCTTCTCTCGGACGCCCTCTTTGGAGTCGCCTTGAGCAGGCCCCGCGAGGCAGACCCTCCCTCCTCCCTCCACCCTGTATGCACTTCTTCCATAGGATTGCACCGGGCCTCGCCGCGCGCCTACCACGGCACGCTGAGCACGAATGCAGTTTTTATTTCTTTTCCACTTATAAACTCTTAATTTCCTCGCTGATAATTCACTATCGCGAGCCGTGCGGTCGGCTAGCGTGCAAGCGCGTTCTTATGGACCGCGTGCATGTGAATCGACACTGCCGCACGCTCGTTTGACGGCCCCACCCAGCCGCTCCGCGCCGCGCCCGGCTCCCATCTGCATCGAGTTGTTCCTCTCCGGGCCACGCAACCCCACGCCACGTAAGTGTTATGCCCACGCCACGCGCGGCGGCGGGACCCCACAACAACAAAAACAACAAACGCGGCGCAGACTCGACATTCTCATTATTCCACGACAGGCGTAATTACACTATTTTCGATCTCTGTAAAAGTGAGTTTTGACGTTCACGACAACGAGGCAGCAGCTGCTTTCCCCCCCTTTACTACTTCAGATTCCCCCCCCCCTCCCCGGTCCATACCACACTACTTCACACAAGACAACAACAACAGAGGCTGGTTAGCTCATCCACCATCGGCTCAGTCAGCCCTCCCCGCTGTTCGTGTGATTAACTACTACCTTCCTCTCGCAGTCGTTTGTTGTTCGGCAGGGTTATGTTTTACCTTGCGCGTTCCCTTTTGTTCTTCATTTCTTTTACACCCACTGCCGCCGCTACCACTACCGCTACCACTACTGCCACCGCTGCCCTTTTTTCCGTCTTTCTTTCATATCTTCTCGAGAGATGATGATTATAAGTCGTGAAAGTTGTACACTCTGCGGCGGCACCTCTGGCACCTCCCCCGCAGCAGGGCGCGGGTGCGCCGCCGGGGCCGGCGGCGTGCGGCAGGACGCCGTGAGACCGGCCCGGCCTAAGCTTTTGTTTCTGTGTATCACACACACACACACTCACTCACACACACAATCTCTCTAATAAGCAATCGATTAAGCGCACACACACACCTCCCTTGACGGACAGCCGCGGCGGCGGCGGCGGCTCCTCTCTTTGTAACGCCCTATACCCGTGGCTTGCGCGCTGCTTATAAAGCCTTATTAAGGCCTAGCGCGGCACGGCGGGAGAGAGAGGAAGATGAAGGGTGAAGCTAAGTACAGGGCGCCGCGCTCGCCGCGCTCGCCGCGCTCGCCGGGCTAGCCAAGGGGAGCCCGTCAGCCCCGTCCCTCCGCGTAGCGTAGCGCCCCGGGGTGCGTGCGCGACGTGGGCGCCCCCGGGGCCGGGCGGGGCACTTCCCTCCGACCGCCGCCGCCGCCGCTCTCTTTCTCCAATCACATCATCCGCTTTCACGGCCAGTCAGAGATGCCCGCGCACCGATACCTCGAGCCCGCAGCGGCATAGGCCGGCGGCGGCTGTCACTCGTCGAGATATCGAGACAAAACTCGCCGCCAGCGGTGTCGTGGCGGCGGGGGAGCGGGGGCGGGCGACCCCCTTCTCCCCCAATCGAGATGTTACGCCGGCACCTCCCGATGACAAGGGCTTTAATACCCCCCCGATTGATTAAAATGGAAACGCCCGGGTGTCGAAGATGTTATCATCCCTTCTGTCGGCATGCGGCGCACGGACCCCGCGGGATCATAGGGGCTTAACGCCCCTTCGAGGGGAAC